CAATTGTTCTATTCTTTAACGAAATCATTTCATCCTACTTGAACGAATAAAAAAATGTGAAATCTTTTAGAAGAACTGCGAAAACACTTTAATACTCACGTATTCCAATAAATAAGATAAATTATCTGTTAGAGTTAAACTGAAAATAATATTTCAAATCTGATAAACGTTTCCTCTCTTAACATATCTTTAAATTAACGTAGTACACAACTAAGAACATAATCAATATACTCCAAGAAGTACCCGCGGAGGATTCCAAAAAAAGGGGATAATTTCTACTCGAAACGTTTGGCATGTGATGCCATTAATTTCGGTCGTCGACTGATCCGCAGCTCGCCGGTCAAAGTGGACTAACTTCCTCATACGGTAGACGCGTGTTATTATTCGCATTCCGCGGGGCAAGAGGATTCGGCGGCTGGGCTGCCTGTCGTCCGGGCAAAGCGGTGGCAGGTGCGGAATCAAGAATGCGAGCCATCCAACGGGAAGCGCAATGATTTTTTATAGCGTTCCCCCTTAAAACCGCCGCCATAACGGTTCCTTCGGACGAGCTACGAAATTTCGCGCGACTGGAGCCGTCTTTCCGAGCGAAATTTTTCCCCGTTTTCGCCCGCGAATACCAAACCGTCGTGTCGACCTCCGCGCGCGCGCGACCGCGTTGCGTAAGCGATCCGCGTGTAATCGATTGCGTCGCGGCTAGTAATTAATTCCTGGAACATTGCGCGCGGGGCATAATTAAGCCATCGGGCCGGTGTTTTCCGTCGTTCGCGGCCGATCCGATCTAGAAATCACGGGGAAAACTGATACATTCTGTGTAACGTAACCGCGCGACTATTTGTAAAACAGACAGCCGGCGGATTTATGCGCGCAAACCACTCGCAATCACTTCGGCTACCTGTACTCGCGGTTGCTCGAGAACTGTTCTTTGAACAGGAACGTCGGATAGAATCGTGTGCTCAAATATTGAACTTCGACGAGGAATATGAGGGAGGACTTCTGTTAAACGTTTTTAATTCTGTCGCTTTGCTAGCTTTAAAATGACCAGATCAATTTTCTATTGGTCTAGATTGGTACATTGATTTATAATTTCTTTAAAGTGTAGTTATAAAAGTAATTACGACAATGAAACATGAAATTTAGTAGTTACAACAATGAGAAAGGAAGTTAGTGGTTATAAAAATAAGTAGAGCTAGTGACCTTGTATTTGAAAGCGATCTACCTTTCAATTCTTTTAAGTATGTATTATATTAATAGACCTAACTCTTACTATTTCTTCGCGCTAACTTTTCCCACAAACTGTCTTCGACGTCTCCACTTCTCCATCCACAAGAAATTCTTTTCTCATACAATACTTTAACCGCACAGATACAACAAACTCATTAGGCTAACTTCATCCTCGTCCATCAGGATTTAGGATTCTCCGAAAGCAAATCCGCGTAAAGGGATTTCCTGGCAGTCCTTGATCACGGCGGTCACACTTTCAGCACCGTCAGGCACGTAAATCGTCGATGTTGCCGCCTGTAAAACGCATTGTTCCCTGGAATTCGGATTTGCATAATAACCGAGCACGAACGGACGGGCTGCGCGAGCGTGTCGTACGTGTACGCGAACGGCGAGAGTCCCAGAAACAGTCGCGAGAGTCGGAGCCGCGGCCGCAGGTTAACATTATGAATTGAACTTTAATCGGCGTTCCTAACGGGCAGAAATCGTGTTCGAGGTGGCAAAGAAATGCCACTAAAAGTCACCGTGAACGAAGCGAATTTATCCGTGAGTCGTCGGTATAGGAAAATGCACGCGCGAGTTGAAAGGATCGCCGCCGATCGGCGAGCCATTGTTCCAATTACCCGGTAATTGTTACTTCATCGCTTCGTCATCCTACGCTGTTCCTGGACCCATGATTTACAAGCGCGCGTGGACACGGCATTGGCAAGCGAATACGGAACGTTTACGGTGTCCGTCATCGTTAGAACGCCGATGAATATTCATGATTAGGAGTTATGGTAACGCAATTAGTCCCATTAAATCGGGGGGCGAGTGAGGGCACCGCCGGGAAACAATTAAGGGGAGATAAGCACGCGGGAGTCCTGCGATTTGTGTGCGGCGAAGATCTGGGACTGGCATCCGCGCGGTCGCGTCGCCCAATTATCGTAATTCGATGCGACGAGACGCGGTAGGCCTCGCGTAGCGGATTGCCTAACCGTTTAACGATCGCGCGGGACGATAATAAATTTGTCTTTCCAATCAGAGGGAATTGGAAAATTGAATTAACCCTATGATAGAAAGTTGCCCGTTACTCTGTTGGTGTCAATCGACCGAATACGATCTTCATGGTTTCATTCGTTTTTTTCTTTTATGTTCGCAGATCAACAGTGATCCGAACATATTACCGAACGTGCAGCTGGTGATGAGATGGAGCGACACGAGGGGAGAGACCGTGGAAGCCACCAAGGCGATGATCGATATGATCTGCGACGGGGTTGCAGCCTTCTTTGGACCAGAGGGCTCGTGCTACGTCGAAGCCATAGTCGCTCAGTCCCGCAACATACCCATGATTAGTTATGTAAGTACATTTAACGATGCTTTAAGACAACGCTTGCACTGCAATCTTGCACGCAAAATTGGATTCTCCTATTGTCATCCACTTAACTGATATTCGACGATCTTGGGACTTTTTAAACTTTCACGGTTAAACTTTCTCTACGCCGCGGAAATACTGTGAGCGTCTGCGTAACTCATTACGGGAATTGCTTGCTGTCGATTAATAGTGTTGTCAGAAAAAAATCGGCTTGTGAAAGAATTTTTGTAGAGAGCTAAGGCCAAGAGCTTCATTTATATTTAAAAATATGTGAAAATGTTAATATATTTAAAAGAACAGTTTGTTTAATAGAAGAAGTCATATTTGTCGTATTGATTACTGTTTTAATGCTTTCATATCCTGTAAATCTTAACAAAATTTGTTCGTTAAATATAATGGCATAAATATGAATTTTTGAAGAACTATGTCGTCTATGTATGATAGACGTTGCTGTGACAATATTAAGAAGCATTAGTAATGTAATATACACCATAAAATTCAGTGATCGAGATCGTTAAAGCGTGTTTCAGTAAAGTTTCAAGAATGCAGGTTCAAGTCCCGGTAGTATTAGTGCTCGAATTTTTCCTATGATTCTGTATTAATATACTTATTAGTGAATAATTACAGTAAAAGTAGCAATGTTAAAATTTTTTAAGTTGAACTTTAGGAATCCAACATTTTCAGTATAAAATAAAAAATAAAAGACAGCATAATCCAGCTGGAACAGTTTAAAGGATACAAAATTTGTATTTTTGGTTACACAAGGATAATAGCTAAATAAAATTAATTCTGTAAATCTATCACCAGGACTTTTAAAATCTAATTTAAATACATTTAAAAAGGACATTTGCAATTCCAAATTTCCAGGGATCCATCACTGAAAAATATTACTCAGACTTTTAGAACCCATTTGAATACATTTAAAGAGGAGACTTGTGATTTGCAATATCCAACAATTCATCATTCGGAAGAAGCATTAGGATTTTAGCAGAACTCATTTGAATATATTTAAAAAGGATACTTCTGATTTCTAATATCCAACGATCCATCATTCAAAAATGATATTCAATCCTCTAACGATTATACGTCTTGTTGACACTATGAATGATAGAAGAAATTGTAAGCTGCAGTTTTAGTATTTGGAACAACGCCGAGTTGAGACCTTACAGTCTCTGCTGTAAGGTATCAACGGAAAGCTTCATCGCTAAAGCAGATCCATAGGTGGATGTTCGATGTATATGCTTTCTATCATAATACACAATTTTTAATAAATTCATAGAGGCGGAGTACCCTAACCTCAATCTGTATTATCTGAAGATAACTCGTTTGTATATATTGTGTGAAACAAGGTAAGAAACTACCACAATTGAGGATTAGTACTGCTAGAACTTTCGTATTCAAGACTATATTAAGTTTATTTAAAAATTAAATATATATTATTTAAGAACATAATCAAATCCAAAAATATCTTCTAAATGCATTGAAATCTAGTCATAAGCTTTCCATTGACACTCCACAGTACCTAATCACTGATGTCCCAAATGTTAAACTTCTGCCAAATCGACTTCGTGTCACGTGACACGTCTCTCGGTCTCGTTTTACTCGAATTCTACACGAGCATTCATCCTACGTGGAAACATAGAAGTCTGTAGGGTGTCGCCTAAATGCCGAAGTTGTCAAAGGTGGAGCAAAAGACCGAATGCCTGGTTGACGAACGCGGGGGAGGCGGATGTGTGCCGACAAATTGAACACCCGCGGCGTGACAATATAATTACGGGCTGGCTGGCCGCGCGCGCGCAGGGTTGTGTGCGTTTCGGAGCTTTCGTACACGCGATCACGAGGAAACACGCGATGCCTGCGCTTCGGGCCCTTCGAAAAATTAACATAAGGTCTTCACTGTTGGACCCTCCGCGCGTGCTCTTTGTTTCGGACGAGATGCTCACGTGAATACGATCAATATCTGTCCCACGGTTTTCATTCAACTTCACTTCGAATTCAAAGTTTTAAACAAAACTGAACTTATCTGCTTAAAAATTACAATATACCAAGTTGAAGTTCATTTAAATTCTAATTAGGCTGAAGAAGTTTATACACTTGTACAGTCTTCTGAACATAAAATTAGAACAAATTTTAATTCCTTTGATAAACTTGTTTGACTATGTTCAACTCTTTCAGAATTGTTTCAACACACGGTATGAAATTAACACTAAAACTACCAAACAGTCAAGCTGACTTTATCTAATCATCTTATAGAAAGTCTAGGAATGCATCTGTTGAGATTTCGAATCATTCGTAACTCTATTTGTGCATTGCCAAATCAATTTCATTAGTGACTTCTCAGAGAAGCACTTGTTACCTTTTCCATAATTGCGAAAAAGGAATTCAAGAATCGGTCAGTTTATCCCACCTGGTAGTTCTAGCATTAATCTCGACCTTAATTTTGAAAAGGCAAAACTTCGTAGATCAGTGCACCTAAGGTCGATTCGCTGTAGCCCTAGGTTAGATCTCGCCTTGGGTTATGCTATCTCGTATCCGTGTATGAGTTATCGTAGCCATAGCGTATCTGGAGCCGTATATTATCCTAGGTCCGGAGCTCGTGACGCGCGTTCGAGCAGGATCTAGAAACGCGACTGTTGCAGCTGAAACCGAATCGAACCGGTTCCGCTCGAACAAAGTCGACAAAGCTTATTTGGTTCGGTTTCCGTTCGAACGTATATTCCTAATCCGAACTGTCTCTATTAGAGCGCGAACGCGCGCGGACGGATCGTCGTCGGTTGAAATCACCTTGGGCCCGAGCTATTCTAAGCCTCGACTACACTAAGATTAGCCTGTTGGTTCCAATTAGGATGCCGCTGCCTATGATAAATGGCTACTCTAACCGCTCCCGACTGCGTCCTTTTTGTAATATTTGTCTGGCCCGTTACAAATGACTATTTCGGATCGTGTATATTGAAGATCGTTTACACCGCGATCAATTATCGCCGGCAATATAGCCAGTTAACGATATTATCACAATTGTGATTCAGCGATTTTCGTGTCTCACACCTACGAGACATGTCCCAGGCCTCGCGAAGATCTTCTTATGGGGACCCGTAACGGTAAAACCGTCGACACACTGATTTTAAAGTACAATTATTGTGCTGAGTCTGATTTCCCGCGAGACTGGGAAGGAAGGGAGAAGAAAAAACCGATTTACAGAAAGAAAAAAAGAAGGTGGAGCTCGGTGACGTCACCGGGTCACGATGACGTTATCGTGGCGATATTTTTAGCGCCAGGGTCGAACGGAAACTTTGGAATCGAAGGTTATTTATGGAAGAAATTATCAGGAAGTGGGCCGTTCCAAATAAGTGGACCGGATAGACGCGGCAATTTATGAAACACATGTTACCAATACGCGTCGACTATTTTTAACCTGGCGATCGGGATCACTTGTCCGCGGGCACGCGTCATTCGTCATTATAGAACGTCCAAGCGATCAATTTCCGTGGGACCAAAAACGACGTTTCAATCGATCAGTGAATTTCTTTAAGAACTATTCAAAAAGAAATAAAAATATTTGACTTATTCAATTTTATACCGACGCAGTTACGACTGGAACACGTATAGCCGAACGCATCGAAACAAGGTAAAAACATCGCAAACGCGTTAAAAGATCGCGGGCTGAGACTGGCTTTCGACGTTCGCAGCATCCAGCTAGAAATCATAGGGAATCCAGCAAGCATTGAATCGTCAATCAATGTTTTCGTGAAAGTGTCAACGGCATTAAAGGTTCCTCCGGAGTTGGCTCGCGGAAAAGTTGCATCGTGCGGCGGTCATTCATCGTCCAGGTGGAAAGTTTCACTCATTCCGGCCACACGCGTGTTTCCACGGGCAGATGAAACCTCAGCTGCGTCTTGATCGCCTCGTAAGGAATTAAACGCGCGATAGAGAGAGAAAGAGGGAGCCAACGACGAAGAACAGAAAGAAGAAAAAAATGCAAAAAGGATTCGGGGAGGGAAGAGAGGCTGAAAAAAAGGAGAACGTTTCCTCGATGGTAGTCGTAAGGTCGCACGGCCTCTGGAGGACTCTCGCTCGATTCCCCCGGCTCGACTCGACTCGGCTCGAATATGAGAAAGTGGTACGCGCACGTAAAAAAGCCTCCAGACTAATTTATGTTAATTGGAGGTCGTAAGAGAATGAAACGGACACGCGAGAACGCGGATCGTTTCGACTGGGCCGGCCGAGAAGGGATAAAAGGCGCGCGCGGAGGCGCTCCAGTAGTGTCCGATCCCGCTTCGGTCCGGAGGCGGCGACGCCGTTGCTCTCGTGATTGTAAACGTAAATCCGGGCCCTTCTCCCGACCGCGCGAGGGACGAGTCCGGCCGCGTAAGCGCAAGGAGAGGTCTCCCGGCTGCCTACCGCTTCTTACTTTCACCTAGTTTCACTCGTTAGCGGCCGCGAGACAGAGCGGGGACCGCGTGAGGGACGCAGAACCGTCCTCTCTCGCCTTTACCGGGCACGCGTCGTTGAATTTCGTTGAGGCTCGCGCTTTTTCTTCCCGCCGGATGTCTGCGCCGGCTTCTATTCCCGCTTCCGTTGGATTATTTTCTGCTTACCGACGGCCGGCGCGCGCTATTTTCTGCGCGAAACCTCGCCGCGTTCCATTCCCCGTGTCTTCGCGGTCGTTCTTAGAAACAAATTGTTGCCGATGTTTATACGTCTTTAATGAGACTTCCATTTCAACTGTATTTTGCGTGTAGGAGGAAACTTTCTTTCTTCGAATAACTTCTTTGAATGACTGATTTATCGTTACCGACCTTGCTCATATATTTATTCCCGAGAAGCTCAAATGATTACAACTGTTGATACCAAGTTTAAAATTGAAAGAGAAAAAGAATCAGTCGATAGGCTACTGTACTTCATCGACAAAGCTGTTCTGTCCGACGGTTCTTTCCGCCGAAGCTCGTATATAACCTGCACCGTAAGCGCGCAATATGGCCGCCGGCGTAATATGTCCACCTCTCACATATGTGCCAACGATTCGCAAGAAGATCGATGAAAACCGAGTGAAGCTTATCTGCGAACGTAGGAAGCGATTGTTGCCAGTCCCCGCGCCCAGCTTCTCACCCACATGCCGATCGACTGGCCAATCGCGATGCAGACAACGGTGAAAAAAGGAGTAATCGGTATCCGGCCGATTTCGCGTGAAACCGCCGCGCCGCAGGATTGCAGAGGTAGACGGCCATCGAACGGGTCGCGATCGCCGCGCGGTGTAACGGATGCCTACCGGGGAAAATGCAAATCGCAAACGCGAAGATTCGAGAGAGGCGGTCCGGGATGCTTGGACCACCCTGTACATCGGTGGCCACCGGTGACCATTTAGGTACATGCCTGTAGGTGGACCGAGAGTGCCCACCTATGCGAAGCTCTCGTAACGAGCGCACATGCGGGCAGGCAGCAGTGAGAACTTTCGATAAAGCGGCTCGGGCTCACTCCTCTCGAGGCTCGGGTGCGCGTGCACGCGACAGAGCCGCCGCTCCTCCACAAACGCGTGAGCCACGCACACAACGCGACGGTCAACTGCATCGCCAGTGGTTGGTGCAACCACCTGTTGATTGCGCCGCCGCGTCGACCGAGCCGATGACGTTCCCGCGGATCGGAAAACTATTGGACCGCCCGTGGGAATCGTACCGGCGCGACGGAAAAGCCTCTTGTTCGGTTACTACGGTCTGGTTAGCCCTTCCGACGCATTCTTTTTTAACACATTTACTGCCACAAGGGTTTCTAGCATTTTGTACATTACACTGTTATCTAGGTGCTTATGTTACTAAATGTGTTTATTTGACATCAACCTTTTTATTGTAATTGTTCTTCAGCAACTTGGAAGCTCCGGTTATTGATGATCACCGTAGCAGTGAACGGGTTGACTGAGCACAATTTTAATATCTTTTAACTATTTGCAGCGAACACAGATCTGTTTCGATATTCTTGGAACTCGATAAAGTCAAAGCGATATGGACGCGGTCGTCTATCAATTTTTTCGCATTTATTTAGTTACTAACCTCTGTCGCAATGTGATTAATATTGAACAGTCTACAGATATTATCGTGCCTGGTAATCTATGTTCTCAAATTAATCACGTTTTTTTATAAGACTTACGAAACTGAGATCTTCGAAGATCCTTGGATCAGTAACATTTGGCAGCTCATATATCGGTACTTAATATTCAGAGAAACGTAAGAGAAAAGTGTACACGTATACTCGGAAGAACGCTTTTAAACGCCTGATTTGCGAACGCTCGTTCGCTAGCCGGCAATAAACGGCAACATCTTGAGCGAGTGCGCCTCAGAATCCGTGGCAATCTTGTCCGCAATTTCTCGTGCGATATTCCGAGGGTCCGGCGTTAACGGCTCCACGTCGAATTACCCTTTGGGACCTTATGTAACTCGATTTGAAACGTTCACCAAGCGAGACACATTGAAACCAGAGAGCCCGGCCGCCGGGCAACAATGTTGCTCGAAACTGAGCCATGTACTCTATTATAATGCCGAAGAAGATTACATTGTAGCTGCGAAACTGAAGTGTACCGCGGCGTTCGACGTGTAGTGTACCGCCTGTCCGAGAAATCTTCGCGATTGAAACGACGGAGGTGGACGATGACGGGGGGAAACGATGTACACGGACCAAGTAAACAGCATCAGTTACCGATATAAATTCCAGCGGTTTCTCAGAGACGAGCATGTTGGTCGCGTATGCTGGAGGAGCCATGGCTCCCGCGTTAATCCGTGTCTACGAATGAAAACGGATTAAATCGTGACGATTCCGCAACTGGAAACCCGAGTAACCGGAGCTGGATCGGCTCTCCGCGAAAGGAGCAATATTATTCCATCGATGGCGCATTTGCATGAAAACTGCTGATTCCCCTGACCTTCGCGGTCTATTTATAGCCGGAGAGCCTGTTGATGCCCCACGCACCTGGAACGGACGCTTACCTGGTCCGACTCGGTGTCAGTCCGTCGTTGTCCTGACACCGTGTTTCCCTTTCCCTCCGCGCGACTCCACCGGAATTAACGCGTTACACTCGCCTGCCTCGCGGTTGCACTTCATCGATTCGTTTCTCTTATTCTAACGAAGATCTTCGGATTTCATTCTCTTGCCCTATGGAGGCTTAACCTTGTCAAGACAAAGAGAATGTCGATTTTAGCTTTTCCACTGTGTTGCAATTTAATGTGTACACTGGATAATTACTTTCCTTCTATATATTTTGAAAGTAGCAATTCTAGAGACGAAAAGAATTTGTTGATTAATCGTAGTGGTGTTACGTAGTAACTAGTGTCGAAGTCTGACCTCAATGTTGCTGATACTACTTAAGAGTTCTTTTGAATCCACTACCACCAAGACAGTGAAAACAAACAGTTCCTTTCATCTTTAATATAGAAAATAATTATGCATCGTTTCCTCTATTTTCTCCAACTGTCCAAGGATTGTCATCGCAGTCCAAAATCTCTCGTCGCCAATCCCCTTAACCTTGACCCAACATCCTAACACAAAGAAACACAGACAAATGTGCGAAGCCCATAAGGCCGCGATACGAGTTTTCGAAGCGCGAAATCCCGTTAAGAGAATCCCCGCGCGCGTGGGCGGCGTGTAGCGTTGCGATACTTTCATCTTGTGCAATAACAGCGTAATAATAGCGCTGTTGAGGTAGCTATCGGTCCGGTAATAGCGGACGGTACACTTGTTTGGCGACGCGTATGCATTATTTATACACTTACGTACGTACGGTATGTACTTACGTACGTGTCGGCGTCGCGTCGGGGTAAAAAGTTTATTGTGATGATCGCGTGTGGTGTGGCTGGCCACCGCTCTGCTTCGCGGCAGAGGAGAGCCGGTCGACCGGGCCCCGGCTAGGCAGCACGCTCCTGTGACCGGCGTCTACGCGCGTGCACACCGCGCGCTACGGGGAACGATTATTCCGCGCTACCGTTTCCTCGTCTCCTCGACACCGCCCCACATTATATCTCTGTTCCGAATGATGTTACGTGATTTCCACGATGAAGTAATCGGCCTGGCTATCTTTAGCGCTGCCGCGCGGCGAACAAACGATGATCGACCGCTCGGCGAGCGTGAGTACGACTGCGAGCGAGCGAACGGCCGTCTCCCTCGTCCTAGCTGCGCCACCTTCTCCTCGTCTCCTTCTCCTTCTCCATCTGCTTCTCCTTCTACTTCTTCTTCTTCTTCCTCTTCTTCTTCTTCTTCCTCCCCAAGCCGTCCCCCAGGAATTACGGCGATTTTCTCGCGTTGCTCGCGAAATCGTTGCACGCAGGTTGCACGATACCACCGCGAAATTATGCTATCTTTAGCCGGCCGCTCCGCGAACGATCGGAGGGAGCGTTGCAGCGTGAGAATACCGGTTTTCTCTCGGGTGAAACGATACGATTTGTTTGCCACGTTATCGCCGGGTTAAATATATCGCGATAGCGTGAGGAATTTACGAGCGGCCGGACGCGCCATTGGCCGATCACGACCGACCCGATCCCCGTGCAACGCCGTAATATTACGTAAAATTAACCTGGTGCCTGCGCCGACCCGCGCGTCTCCTTAAAATCATTTTCGTTTTTTACCTTTTTTTCTTTTCTTTTCTCTTCCTCTGCGGTTTTCGTTAATCTTCTTCATTCTTCTTCTTGCACTGCTTCTGTCCTTTTCCGGCACGTTTTTTTCGTCTTTCGACGATCTCTCGTGTCGGGGAATGTGCACGCGCGTCGATTAGCGACCCGTTTGCGCAACAGACACGGCAACCAACAAGGATGATATAACGCTCGGAAACTCATCGATAATCGTAATCTATCGCTCGGTGGGTATCGGCCTCGGAGCACGAGAACTTTTCGTGGACCCCTGGTTCGAGCGCTATCGGAGGAGCGAGCATTCGTGGATTCGGTTCGTGCTCTTTCAAACTATTTCAAGAAGACCTTGTGCCTAGAAAGAACTTAAAAGATTTGATTGTTTCTCGAAGCTAAACTGTTTCGTTTCTTCCTTGATTTTTTGTGGTGTTCATAGGATACAGCAGAGGAAATCATTAATCACTTCACAATTGTTTAACCGCCTACGAAGATTTCTTTTAACAAAGAAAACTAAAAAAGTTTACTTTACATCTCAAACCTGAACGTTTGATGTCATCACACATCCTAAAGATTGAAAACTGGCGAACAAGAGAATTTCTTCGTTAACTCGTGGATTTGAAGACACCGCTGAAAAAAGTACATCGAACAAAGGAATCTATATCAATCGAGTTCGATGCCCATCAAACAAAAACTAGCAAAATCAGCCGATGGACCGGCCAATAAACGATTCCGCCTAAATCCTCGATTTCCCGATAACTGGGTCAACCGACCCTTTTGTTCCCTTTTTCCTTCACGCAACGATGTTGAATACACGTGGCGGAAATCGAAAACGGTCAACCACCGGAATATAATCGTCGGGTGGTTGAAGCGTCGCCGGAGCTAGAGAACCCATTCATCAGGGAGGGAGGCGGGGACGCAGGAACGCGACGCGAACTCAAACGCGGACGTTTTTGCCGCAAGTAAAACGCTATTTTTAGTGCGCCGGGAGAATAAAAGAGTGAATAGAGTGTGAGAATACTGGTTTCGCAGCCGGCCAGGAGAGTCCGTCCCGACCCGTTTGCCCCGTCATCGTCGGCTCGTGTCCGCCTCGTCGGGACCCGCCGCGCCGGCCGCGGGAGGGAGAGGACAGAGCGTGGCGCTCTTGTAACGTAATATTGCACAAACAAGATTAATTAATATTTATAGGAAATCCGTTCCGTAAGCAGCGATGCAAAAACTGGCTCGATTCAGCGGTTGCGTGTTCTTGGATGGATCCCTTTTGATCGCTCGACTTTCCTCCCTCATTATCTCGCCCACTAAGATTCATTTCTCTCAAAAATTCCTCTTCCGAGGATGCTTCCTTTAAAACATGAATGCGTGGCCAGCACGAACACGATCCACCGAGAGAATGGAGATTAATAAAACATAAATCTGGAAGGTGCTGGCGAGTGATTTATCATGTATCGAAGGCCGCCAGACGATTCAGTCCTCCCCTGTTTCTCACTCGAGAATCCAACTCCCTCGACGATAATCCTTCGCGTGACGCCCGACAATGCGTCATCCCGCGACGGCTTCCTCGCCGGAAGGATTTTCGCCTCGATCCTCTTCTCTCTCCTCGCCGCGCTCCGCTTTTCTCTCGGTGCGCCGCGAGGCGGCGGACATTCTAGTTTTCGCGATTGTGCGCCGGCCGTGATTCACGGCGCGTGCACCAACCACCGTGCTCCGATCGAACGTGACTAACGTGTTTTTTGACCTTGGATTCTCTGGAGAGCGCGGACTTGCTGCTGCTGCTGCTGTTGCCTGCCGTTCGGAGGATCGCCGCTGAAATTAGCCACCTTGACAGCCTGCCGCAGGAACTGCTCGGACGGATTCGAAGTCGGATTTCGACGCCGGATGCTATACTTAGACCTCTCTGAACCGACTATAGAAACAAGGGTTAAGTTTGGAACGCAATTCTCCGAGACGGTTCACTTTCGAAAGGCGGAGCCGCTTTTTATCGGGCTCTGGTCTGGACCGAGATGCCCGATAAGTATTTTTAGCTGCGGTGTCTGGGACCTATGAAAAGCTTTGGGTTCGTAAGAAGACGTAGAAGCAGGTTGTTAGTCGGAATGTAGAGTTTGTTCAATAAGAATCTTTTGTTATTTTGGCTGATAACAAAGTTGTTGATTGCCAAATCTTCTGAAGTAAAATTCATAGACAATGCCTCTTAAGTCAAATTTCATGTAAATTAATCTAAATCATTGCAACTGTCTTCTTTGTCTTTCGTAAGCTAAATGTTAAAACAATTTCTAGAACAATAATCATTTGTATAAACATTAGAAGATTCAGACCATATAATACCTAAGGCCTTCAGAAACAATAATGCATTTCGTCTCGAGGAATTCGTCTCCAATTCTCAGTCGTATTCTCCAGTTCTCTAACCATCTCGTTAACACGCACCTTCCAGTACGTTCCAACGCTGTTTCTCCTTTTCGCGCGATACCTCGTGGTACCTATGGAGGGTTCAATACGCAACGAATATAAATCGATCGCAACCGGTAACCGTTCCACCGAGGGATTGTAAAGTACGGTAATGCTACAGTCCGTAGACGAGGCGTGTTGTTTCGACGTCGCCTGTGTGCCTCGGTTTAATGTGGGTGCCGCCTTAAGTAACGACGACGCGGCTGGTTTCAGGCTAAAATACACTCAATTAACCCTTAATTGGCCGGCACCAATTATGGGCCCAGCGTACCGACGCGTATTCATTCGGTCAACAAGAATGTATGGTCAGCCGGCGTTGTTCTTCCCTCGTTTTACGACGGCTCCTCCTCGTCCGCGATCTCCTTCGGCACGCAGATAAACGAATTCTCTCCTCGTCGCCCTCGACGTTGTTGTCCCCAGGCTTATCCGAAGATTCGAGTACGTGATCAGCCCGTTTTGCAATCCCGCCACGTGACGGGCCTCGAACTTCACGCTTCTATTCTATCTAATATTTCGCCGTCGTCGTTGCCCGCTGATAATATGCGACGGAACCGCGCGGTCCTCCACCTCACACCCACGCGGGTATTCCAGTTAAAACGATTCCAGCGAACGAGTTAAGCCAATCTCGCCGCGACCGACGATCGCGTATTTAATCAACCAGTGCGGTTGCGTTGGCTGGGTCCGTTTTGACCCGCTGGCCAATGCGCTCGATTTTGTCAATGCAAGCTATAGTAATGAGTCAAGAATTCTTAAATGGAACAACGTGGCACTTCGATGTCAAATACCGGAGCGTAGAACAACGAAACCTAGATTTGAATTTGATTGGTTCAGGAAATCGATAGCTACATCGTACGATGGTTAATATTTCTACTTAATAAACATTCTTGTACTAATCCATTGTAATGGGTCATACAATTAGTATCTCTGTTTAGCATTTTTCAATCAAACCGACTAATCCTACAGTAACCGGAGTATCAAACTCTTCGCATACACGTCTAGTGGTTTCATTCTTTATCGGACCGCTAAAAATAGCACTCGAAATGGGATTCATCAGGAATTCATCAAGATTTCATCCAAGCTCAAATATTCTATCGCACCGTTCTTCCTGAGATATGAAAATAAAAGCCCTACGGTTCCGTCACCGAGACGGATTACATTCGCAAACGTGTCTACCCGGCTATCAATGTCCGTCCATCGAGCGGCCATGTCATTGTTCTTTCGAGTGGTTGGCTCCACGGTTACGGTTCCGTGGCGAGGAACGAACGTTTCCATTCTAAAGTCAATACTCTCGTCGCAGAGACCGGTCGGAAGAACGCGGCCGCGCGGCTCGATAAAACGATCGCGCTAAAAGCCACCGTCTCTAACGATCGTCTATTACCCGCGGCGGACGTCTTCGTTGACAGTGTTCGGGACGCGATAAGAACACGCGGCCCGATCGAGAAAGAGCTCAGGCTTTTACAGCCTGGCCTGGAACGACGTTCGAAAAGCAGCGCGGACAGAACGCGTTCCGTAGCGACGAGACGCTTTCAAATGGAGCCTGGCCCTCGCACGAGATACACGAAGTGCGTGCGATTTAACGAGCCGCGACGGCTCCGTCGCAATCGCCTTAATTTGTCGTCGGCTAAGCTCGTTCTATCGCCCCGCTTAAGCCTAACGCCGCGCTCCAAATATAATTTCCTTCGCGGCCGGCGCGGCGAGCCGATAATTCGCAGAACGGAACGATTCGCGTACATTTAATCGTGCGAAATCTCGCGCGAGATGCGATCTCGTTTCGCGATGACACTGATTTTCATAATTCTTGGAATCATTTTATCATAGGTGGCGACGCATTCGATAGTGGAAGGGTTGAATGTAATGTTTTCGAGTGGATTGAACAATCGACGATATTATTGTTTCTCTGAAATTTACTTCACTATAATTGTTTTGTATGATAAAAGATGACTCCATAAAAACAATTCCATACAAATTTTGAAATTTCTTTGAATACGGTTCTTTATTTAATATTATTATTATATATATGATAAACAATAAAAATGACCCAAGGAATAGTGTTCAGTGAAAGCCTT